ATGCTTTGCAAGTTTGCATCCTGCTATTGATTTATTTAAAAAAAATTATTAATCAATTTAAATCTTTGTAAAATTTCATAAGTTCACAAAGTTACAAAAAAATATAAATCAAGTGATTTATCGTTATGACTTATAATTTGAATAGTGCATTATAAATATTTTAAACTTCTGTAAGTTTTTACGGTATGTAAGAAAATTATAAACTTACATAAAATATTACGCAAATTTACGCTTTTCTTACGATGCATAAGAAAATCATAAATTTACATAAACATATTACATAAATTTACGCTTTTCTTACGCATCGTAAGAAAAGCGTAAATTTGCATAATATATTTACGTAAATTTATGATTTTCTTACGCATTGTAAGAAAAGTATAAAGTTGTATAATATTTTAATATAAGTTTACAATTTTCTTACGTACCGTAAAATTTACGAAAGTTTACACTTATATATTTTTGCTGATGCTAAATACCTGGGTTTTCTTAAAAAGAGAATATAACAAAATTCAAAGCCATATTACAAGGGTTATAAAGTGAAAATTAGAAGTAAAAAGTACAGCTACAAACTTTTTTTTTTATAAAGATATAGTAGGTCTCAAATTTCTGTAATAAAGGTATATGAAACACTTAATAACAGAATAAATAATAAAAATAAACAACCCTGAACTAAGCTAACCAAATTACAAATTAAAGAAGCCCAACTTGATCTTATAGTAGTGCAACCAGTCTGGTAGCTAGAAGAAAAGGAGTTTACATCGCAAAATTAAGCAAACAACCTTAATTTAAATATTCTCATAGCAGCCAAAAAACTTAATCTATTAGTTACAAATGATCTAACAGAAAAAGAGTAGCTAATTCCAGGTTCCAAGAACTCTAGAAAAGAGATAAAAGAAATATAATTAGTTAGGAAGTTTAAAAACTCTTAAAAAGCTAAGAATATGGTATTTGAATCAAATAGTTACTAAGCAAAGCCAGATACTTCTAACTTGGCAACAAGTTAAGAAAATAAAAAATTATTTGTCATAAAGAAGAATACCTGTGTAGTTTAAGAAACTGGAGTCAGTAGCTCTTTTTTAAGAAAAATTAAAAAAAAATTTCCAAACCAACAAAAACAAAGGCATACTTCAAATTAAAGCTAAAGGAAAAAAGGTTTCAACAAAAAAATTAAAAAAAAAATAGATTCTTGGTTCAACAAATGATGAAAAGCACCTAATTTTTGGCAGAGTAGTGTTTAAAAAATCTACTGAAAAAATAAAGATAATAGAATAGAAAAAGTATAAGGAAAACTTGAATAACTTTATAGAAAATACAAAAAAAATAAGAATAAAAGAAAAAACCCCAATTAGCACACTAAAAGAAAACTATATTTATAATATAAGCCAATAAGTAATATATGGAGTAGAAAGTTGGAACTTGTTCTTAAATACCAAGATGCTTAACAAAATTACAGATACAAACAATACAGAAATAGTCAACATATCTATAAACAATACAGAAGTCTACATTATAATAGAAGATTGGAACTTTGTATATATTAAATAGACAATCGAAAGCTCTAGAAGAAAAGAAGAACTTTGTATAGCACTTAGAGAAAATAAGGAAATAAATGACTTAGTTTTTTATATAGATAGCTTACTCATAAGTGGAAAATTAGAGCCTTGTAAGGCTGGATATAGTTTAGTACAATTAAATAGCAAGAGAAAAATAGTTAAAGAAATAATAGATAAAATGAATAAATAGTTCACCTTACCAAGATCAAAGTAACCAACTTTATAACTATATCTGGATCTCATACTGTACCAATTTCTTTAACTAGAAAAAATTTTGCCAAATCTCTTTCTATTTTAACTACAATACCCAACCTCAATTTACTTCATAGTTAACCAATAGAAAAAACAAAATTAACTATACTTACAGTTGTCTTTGTGGCTCTGCTAACCAATTACACTCCGAACTTAATACTTGTTTTTCTTTAGAACAAGTTACTCTTAAATTTAATATTTGGTCTACTATATAGATTAAATATAGTATATTTATTAACTATATTCTAATAATTCAAATCTAGATAAGTCTTGACTACTCTAGTAGATTTAGGTTATAGATAATTAGTTTAAGCTTTTAGTTTAAGCTTTTAGTCTGAGCTATACATATTGATGAAATTATTTTGGGTTTAAAAACCCGAAATTAAAATTTGAAGACGAAATTATTTTTGACCTATTTTACTTAAAAGATGAAATTTTTTGACACTTTTTTTAAATAGACAAAATTATAAGAAGTATAAATATATAAATTTTATTTGCTCTTTCTTAAAAAAATTTTAATTTGCTCTAATAGAGACAAAATAGGCCTTTTTTGAAAATCAATTTCGGTAGCATCACTAGTTTGAGCTTTTATTCTTGAATATAATTTATATTTATTTATTATTATACAAATTAAGTTTTTTTATATAGTTGATATATAATAAAGATGTGACGACTTAGTGTAGTGGTTTAGTTGTCACTCTTTCCAAGTGGCAGGTCTAGAGTTCAAATCCCACAAACGACAAATTTTGAAAAATAGCCTGTGCTATGATTTATAGTTGTTGATTATCGGTTGGATCTAGAAATCTGTAATCTTGGTTATACCATCTAGTAATGAGAGCTTTGGCGCAATAAATCTAAGAAACTGGAATAACCGAAAACCTATTTAGCAAGTCCCAAATTTGGAGGTAGCAGTGATCTTCAATGGTATTACAGGAGGGCTGAATTCGAACCGGGGCTCGAAATTGGAGAACCAAGCAACCAGGTCCACTGGTGGAGGAAACAACAGCCAAACTGCTGGGTTGTCACACCAGAGGAAAAGGGTATATGCTTCGAAAGTATGAACCAAGGAAAGGGCATCCTTCAGACACCTAAAGTTTGGGCAGACCAACTCTTTCGGGTTGCCGGCTGAAAGTAAGAGAGAGACCGATAAAGAATCCAGGTAAGGAGACAGTCTGAATGTAGATATCAGGGTTGTTGTAAACCGAATAAAGGCAAGGAGTATATAATGAGCACCTAGTTAGGAAGGTTGGTGCTTGAATTACATTTGTAGAATGGCAGCACCCCAAAAGATGGCGTGAGATATGAATACGGAAAGACAGGCCAATATGTACTAATTAGGAAGAAGTTATAGGAACATGTAGGTAAATATATGTGTGGGATATGTACCACTTTGTTAGGTTTACCTCAAAGATAGATTAGCCAGAAATGGTTAGTAAGTCCTAAGGTAGTCAGTAATCCTTTGCCAAGGTGATACCAAAATCTATATATAAATGCTGAGGAAACTCGGGGTTAGGTAGTTAATCGGTGGCAGTTGTAACCAGATAGTTTAAATGGGTACCCCCTTAATTGGGGTACAGATATGGCAGATAGTGTAAAACCTTCAGACGGACTACTTAAATTAGATACTCAAAAGGTGCACATGTGGCTTGATGTACCATCGTTGTAATTGTATATAAAACACTGTTTCAAATTCTAATAAAAGCTTTCAGGCCAAATAGGTCTCCTTAATGTTAAATATATATATATATATATATATATAGTTGATATATAATTATTTATATAAATTAATCAATAAAGATATAAGCAAGGTCTTACCTTAATATTAAAAAATATATATAATCAGAGCTTATTGCAATATTAGAAGCACTTTTGATAATACCTAAACAGAAAAAAGTAGAAATCTTTACAGATAGTTAAGTAGTAATTCAAATAATAAAAATTCACAAAAAACTAAAAATATCCAGAAGCTAATTCAAAATTAAAAATACAGAGTTGATAAAAAAATTATATAATATAATTCAGATAAAATAGCTTGATATTAAACCAAACAAAAGTAAAAGCATACTTGGGTATTACTTATAATGAAAAAGCAGATTTTTTAGCTAAAAAAGGTTTTAATTTATCAGAAACAACTATACAAAAAGTAGAAGGAAATAATAGCCTAATAATATATCTGATATAGCAAGAGAATCATATCGAAGTACTAATTTGCTACTTCATCAAAAAAATACTCAATACCTTCTACAAAGCTAAGTAGACTTTTATAAGATATAGAAAGAACCTAATTCACCAAAAGAGAAATCAAATGAAGAATTGAAAAGCCTTTAAAGATCTCTAAAAACATACTCAGAAAACTAAAACCAACAACTGCATAGACAATAAGAGGTAGGCTTTTAAAATTAAGGCAATTAATAGAGAGTTACTAACTCTACAAAAAAGAAATAGAGATTAGCAAGATCTATATGAAAAAACACTTTGCTACAAATATAAAAATAAATTGAAAACATATGAATATCTTACTGCATATATCAAAGACCAAAAGATCTAGGAACTTGAAAAATCCCAAAATTATAGAAAAAATTTGAAGTACAATTGAATTAGAAGAAAAGAAAAAAATAAGAAAAGCATAGTTAAAAAAAATTCTCTTAAAAAAAGGTGCTCAGAACACAAAAAGAAAAAGAGGTCTAGCAAGAGGAATATTGGCACATAAATATAGAAATCTGCTATTGTTAAAAGGAGCAAAAAGAAAAAACAGTTAACTTCATACTTCAATATTGCTAGGCAAATGAATAAGTCTCTTCCAGAACACTATATAGAGGCAGAGATGCACTGTGACAATTGAATAGAATTACACTCTTAAAATTACACCAAAAGAAAATAGGAATAAAGAACCTACTAAGAAATCCTGAAAGAGAAAGAAAAAGATAACTGAAAAAAAGGTAGAAACAAAAAAAAAAAATAAAAAGAACCAAAAAGAAAATAAAATAGGAGAAATGCTTAAATATAACGATGCAAAAGATAAATAGTTAGATAAAAAGAAGTACAAATACAGTCAACTCTCTCTAAGTACATGTTGCTAGGACTAGTACTTTGATCTGCATTTAGAGAGAACCTGCAATTAGAGAAAAATTAAAATTATTAAAAATTTTATTAATAAAAAATAATAAAATCTTTAAAAATTAATAACTTTTGATCTATTGATCCAATTTGGATGATTTAACTACCAAAATAATTCTCTTATAGTGTTGTTTCTAATAAATCTAAAATTAGCTAAATCTAATTATATGATCTTGCTCAAGATCATTAAGGATCTGTATTATATTTATTATAGTATATATAACATAAAACATTAACAATCTCAAGATACCATAATCAAATTTGGTTGATTTTAGATTTATTAGAATTGCCTCTATGAGAGAATCATTTTGGTAGTTAAATCATTCAAATTGAATCAATATATCAAAGGTTATTAATTTTTAAATATTTATTATTTTTATAATAATAATTTTTATTTTTTATTTTTTTATTTTTTTTAATATTTAAGGTTAATAATAATTTTTATAAAATATTATATTATTATATATTATTAGTTTATATTATACTTAAAAGGAATAAAATATAAATTTTATTTGTTTTATTATCTAAATAAATATTTTCCAATAGTTTTTCTTAAAACCCCACATAATTAATAAAACTATACTAAACTCTTTTCAATGATTACTTAAACCAAAAATTTCCCACTAACAGAAAAACAAAATTTTTTTGAAGAGTTGTAGTTGACATAGTGGTTTGTCTAGAAGTCAATATTTACTTAGCAGGACTCCTCTAAAAGACATTTGGCATGCAAGCCAGGAGCATTACTATATAAGTTAACTAGCAAGGTAACAATAAACCTGGAGGTGGCGCCCTTGTATATAAAATCTTGGTGGAGTATGGGCAAAGCCCAACTTCGTCGACGAAATTACTCGACTATTAACAATAAAACACAGAGGATACAACAAAATTTTAGCTTTTCCAAGCTGTATTCTTTTACTTAGATAAGTGGTTCTCCTCTTTACTCACTCTTGCCTCTTTATCAGTCTTCCAAATTTTTTCAAAAAAGTAGGAGATTTGGCTTACCCCCTCCAAAAGATTGACATTGTTTACTTTTTAAATTCGGACAACCTAATGAATTGCAACCACATGTTTCACAGATACAACGTGTTAGAATCAGGCCCCTAGTATGAAACCCCTAATAACAGCAGCAAGTGGCTTGAGATATAGGTATATGGTAGAGTGTCTGGCATAGTGGCAAAGGCATGCCAAAATCAAATTTGGCATGCCACTGGGTACAGTATAAAAATTATACTTACAATATCCAAACCATATATAATATATATATATTATAAATAATATATAATATTTTATGGCATGCCATGGCACAAATTTTAACAAAAGACATGCCCTGTGGCATGCCAAATTTTTTTGGTATGCCAGACACCCTAGTCTACAGACAGCAGTAGCACCTGGCTTGAGATATGAATTAGGACAGGCATGATATAGTTATTCAGAGTCAATTAGAAGGTTGAAAAGAAGAATCAAACATTAGAGCGAAGCTTTACAACAGGGATATACAAATTTTGCATTTGTTATATAATTTTTACACTCATCTGACACGGGTTATAATAGTGTATTTCTTTTTCTTTCTTTGGGTATGTTTATCAGGTCTATCCTATTCTCTTTTTTTTGCTTTTTTCATCTTTTTCCTATTATGTTAGAATAATGTTTAGGATTTATTTTTTTTTTGGTTATGTTTTTTTTTTTCTTTTTTTCTGTTTTTTTTTTTTTTTTCTTTTCCTAGATATAGTTTTCTTTTTTTCGTAAATGTGGCATATATTTTTTTTCTTATAGAAAAGTAAAAGATTAACTATTCTGCCTGGATCTAGGTGGAAAAGGTTTTAAAGAAGGAATAGGTAGTCTTAATGGGCCAGTAGAAACCTTCTGGTGAAGTTTTATTTTCTTCAAGTGCAAAAGTAAATATTATAGAGGAGAATTCTGCTTATAGCAGATCACACATGAGTAATTTGGACTTCGATCACAAAGAGCCGGGTGAGCTAATACTTGTAATTTAAGCATTGTAAAACTTGACCTTTAGGTACTCGTTTTTCGTAAATTTGTAATATTTCTTAGTATAATATTTTCAAGCCTAATAAAGTAGAGACAAGATTGCCAAATTGTTTCAAATAAAAAAAAAATAAATATTCTCAAATTTGATTGGTTAATATATTAAAAATATATTTAAAGAAAATATTTTTATATATATAATTTGAAAAATAATTTGCATTTAAAAAATATAGAACATGCACTTATTTTATAAGTTTTAACTTGAAACTAGGCTATTTTCATACATATAAAGAGAGTATATACTTAGAGGCAGTGTTGTATACGGATTTTGTCCTGTGAAAATTTTAGGGATGCGGACAGTCCCGGACAATGTTCCATGTCCATGATGGTATCCTATATCACAAAGTTTATCAAGTGTTCTCATTGGCTAAAAAGGACACTCTTATTATAATATTTAATTGTCCAGAATATTAACATTTTGGTGAACATGTCTGGAACGTTCCGTCCTGGACTGTCCATTGTCCATGTCCTATGACAACACTGCTTAGAGAACATGCACTTAAAGAGAGTTGACTGTAGTTAGTAGAATATTAATTTAAAAAAGTCATAACAGGCTATAAAACCACATTAGTGATTTATCCAAATTAGACAATAATAACTAATTAAATAATGAAATGAATTCTATATTGGCAGGTCGCATATAGATATCCTTGGTAACCAAGCAAGCTATATTTTTATTTACAGATACCCAGCATTGGAAATAGTATTAGTATTAGTATATATAACTATTATCTTTCTAATAAAATATAACATGACTGCCAAAAATAAAAAAAAATACTAAATAAAAATTAAAATAAAATAAAATAACAATATTTAATATTAAGAGATATAGTGAAGTGGTCTAGTCATCACCTTCTCCAAACGGCAATAGTATAGGTTCTAAGTTTGAATCTCAGGGATGATGCTTTCAAAAAGAAATATATAGATGATCTAAGTACTTCAGACCAGTGTTGTCAATGAACAGCTTTCGGCAGTAGTTTGAACAATTTTGGACAATTAAATAAAGTCAAATTACTTAAAATTTTATTAAGATAATCTATTTTAATTTTAACTGGAATGTGTTCAGCACCCCCAAAAATATATAATTATATATTTTTTAGACAAATTTATTAATTATTAAAGCCTGTATAAGCTTTGGACACTTGGATATTATAAACATGGACAAGGCCAAAAAAGGCCTTGGACAGCCAAAATGTACAATATTGCTTTAGGCATCAGTAATGCAATTCCAGATACTGTAATCTGTAGATAACCGCAAGACTGAAGATCAAAGCCTGTTTGGAAAGTTTTGAGTTTGGAGGTAGCAGTAATCTTTGACAGTACTATATGAAGGCTGAATTTGAACTGGAGCCCAAGATTAGAAAACTAAGCGATTAGATCCTTTAGTAGAAAAATATACTAGCCGAATCACCAGTTTAGATATACTAAAGAAAAAGGCTATATACTTTAAAAGTATGAACCAAAAGGAGAGCATCTTTTAGGCATTTAAAGTCTGGGCTAGAGTTGCAGGTAAAACTAATTAATTTCATTAGTTTCACCTGGTGCACTATCAATGCACCATTGAAGATTAGCTTCATTTATAACTCTAGTTCTACTATCGGTGCACCAGTTTCATCAGTTTCATCTAGTGCATTATTGGTGCACTATTGAAGATTAATTTCACCTGCAACTCTAGTCTGGGCTACCCAATTTGTCCGAGTTGCTAGCTAAAAGTAAAGAAGAAATCGATAAAGAATCCGGGTAAAAAGATAGTTGGAATATAGATACCGGGGTTGTTGTAAACTTTACAAAAGTAGGAGTATATAATAGAAAACTAATTAGAAAGGTTGTGTTTGAGATATGGATTGTGCTATAGCAGTATCCCAAAAAGTGATATAAGATATAAATATAATAATGACAAACAATAGAGAAAAAATTATTAAACACGCAGGTAAAAGCATATATAGGATATGAAATACTCTGTTAGGTTTACCTCATAGATAGATTAGCCTCATTTGGAGTTAATAAGTCCTAAGATGAGTGCAAAATCAGATTGGGCAATAGTGAACTACTTGTGTATAGTAAGCTATGCCTCAGATTAAAAAGTATCTATTGGTTTGAAAGTAGGTTATAGTCAGAAGGTTTAAATGGGTACTCTTCTAGCTAAGATATGGCAGATAGTGTAGAACTTTTGAGCAGATTACTTAAATTAGATATCTAAAAAGTGCACATGTACTTGATGTACTCTTACTGTAATTGAAAAATATAACTTTCTAATAAAATGTTCCTTGGCCAAAGAGGTCACCTTAATATCAAAAAAAAAACCCCCAATATTTAATATTATAGATTTCTATTTTTTAAAAATACAGTTGTGCTCTTGTATACAGTAATTACATGTTTTTTTACTTAAGAACTTTTTAAAAATATATTAATAAAGAGTTTGTGCTTATATAGAGATAGTTTTAAGTTTAATAGTAATTTGTTCTTAAGTACAGAATGTGATAAAGAAAGGTTTTTATATGATGTGATTATAGAAGAGGTAATTATATAGATCACGACTGTATCAAATAATTAGTTAAAAAGTACCAAGTAAAAATATTCAAAACTCAAAAACCTTGTATAATTTAAAATTTAAATTATTATAAACTTTTCTATATATATAATAGCTATACAGAATACTATATAACAAATTATTAGTTTTACAAAGCTACTGTAATTTTATTAAAAAAAATAAAAACTATATACAATCGCTCTTTTTAAATCAGAACCTTGCCTAAGTATTGAATTTTAATAAACCTCATTTTTGCAAGTACATATACAGTATGTATAGAAGAAATCAAGTTTCGTGTAACGAGTTTTATGATAATAGATAACTTATATCTTTGAATTCTAGCAATTTGTTTAATCGATCAAGTTATTACCATTGTACAAACTGCCAATCATTGATATAGGTGTTCAATTTTCACTGCATTGCTTACGCCACGCGGCGATGTGATGTATTCAAAATCGTTTTTTACATGTAGTTTATGCACTAACGCTAACCTGTTCGGTTCTAAAGGGTGTGAAAGTCAAAACCTGTAAAATATAACGATCACTTAACTTATATTAAGAATTAAAAAAATTGATTTAGTTTTGAAACATCATAAAATCTGTACAAGGTGTGTTTGTATAATAATAATAAAAGAATCTCTAAAATAATATAATGCATATGCTGTGATGAGGATCTCACTAATTATCAGAAAACAATGATAACTCAGAACTCAGTGTCTGTAATAAATAATTCCTCGCTGTTCGGGTTACACGATATAGCGGGTGGAAGTTATTCCATCACATGACAAAGTGAGAGATGCACTTTCGTGTGCGTACGTACGTACGTACGTATGTTAATTGAATCTAAGGTGATAATCTGGTGTGTATGAATATGACGTATGTTTGTTATTTAATACCTTATTGATAGGTGATATAGCCATTTGCCCGAGTAGTAACTCTTGTCTTACTCGTTTATTACACAATTTGTTATTTGTCCTCTTTTTTTTTTTTTTTTTCTATACTCCCCTACAGTTAGAAAACCTCTTAAAAAAAGTCGAGAATCTAGTTCTTTCTCTCCTTTGCTCAAATTTATGCTTCTTTCTTTAGACCAAAATTCATAATCATCAAAAATAAAAATTATCTTTGGATTTAAAATCATTTTTAAATTTTTCTTTTATTTTTTTATTATTTCGGTCGACAAGGTCTTAATAGTAGGTTTTTCGTTATTAAATTTCGAGTTTTGCGAATTTATATACATATTATACATATTATACATATATATTCTTTCATTATATAACTTGCCGGGTCAAGTAGCTTATAATCTCATCTCTCACAAGTAAAAAGATATTGCATACAAGAAAAAAAAAAGTTTATTCATTAAAATTTTCAAATACACTGTGTGTGTGTAGTCTTTATAATTAGTAATGAAAAACGGCAATCCTCCTTTTTTTAAAGTTGACACCAGTCTTGCCTCTGAAGGTGGTTGCCAATCTCCAGCTCCTTCGACACCTGTGTCCGCTTATGTACCTTTCACTTCAGCCAAAAAATCATCGCCGATGTCGCCTTCGAAGGAACCCTCTTCTAGACTTCCTACTGTTGCTACCATTTCTTTAGCTCCTACAACTACAACCACTGTTGTCACTACAACGACTACAACGACAACGACTTTTCCTCCTCTGCTCTTAAAACCTCCACCTTTACCAAAACAGCTAGATCCGAAAGAATATCCGTTGGCTGATACTCCGACTCCTCCAGCACTTAAACGTTTTTGCTTCGATTTAAACGGACAACCCGCCTACATTAGAGAGGACGAAGATTCGGAACAACAAATTATCAAGGTGGGCTTACTTCAAATTTTTATGAACTTCCAAGTTATTATAAATCTTTATTATCCTTATCATTCCTCCTGTAAATGCACATTAATAACTTGTATATGCTCACGCTCAAGAACGTTTTTTAAAATTGTGTTTTAAGCGTGGATTGTTATTACTATTATTATTATTATTATTATTATAAATTGTTTTTGTATTAAATTTTATGATACGTTGATTTTATTATGCGATTATGGAAATATTTTAGCTTCAAGAAGCCTTGTATAATATGCGAGCATCTTCCACTCCATCGACAAGAACGGTCAAGACAAGTGTTACTTCAACTCAGCAATCATATAATGATAATTATGTAGATACTATACCTTCTGGAAGTGGTGCTCGTAAAAGGCCCGCTTCTCCTATCGAACCAGCAATCGATTTCTCTGTTAACGCTCAACATCAAAATAGTATAGGTACTTATAATAAATTATCACGAGAAAGAAGGTCTTTATCTCCTCCTCATAAAAAGGTCCGTGCAAAATCTGTAAACTCAATGTTGGAACAGGAAAACGAGCTGGCCTCACAGAGACAATGGATGGAATTTACTACAGATTTTCGGGATAATAGCGTTAATTCAGGAATTACAATACCGAGAACTAATACTCCATTGAGTACTGTACAAGGTGAATCATCAACATCAATAATTACTCAACAGGTTCCCACTACTTCCAGACCTTTTAATACTATATCGACTTCGAACCTTGGAATGGATACTCCTTCAACTACAAGAAGTACTCATTCATCCGCTCTTCCATCTCCTTCACTATCTCCGATTGCTGGTGTTTCAACTTCACGTAACACTAATCAATTTGAAACTTATTTCGCCGAACATTCCGTTCGTGACGACGTGGATGGTGATGATGTCACTGTCGATGAGCCGTTATCTACCGGTATCAATGAAAATTGGAGTTTACAACAAATTACTACTACTGATACATCTAATACTCCTAGTTTATGGGATTTGAACACTATGCTTACAACTTTTGATGCTTTACCTGCTTCAATGAAATCTTATATGTTATTCCAACTTCTTCGTCGTTGTCCCACAAATACTCTTCAATATGTTAGTAATATTATTTTACCAGCTTTAAGGAAAGATTTCGTTGGAACACTTCCTATTGAACTTAGTCTACATATAGTAAGGTATTTAGATGCTGGGAGCATGTGTAGAGCAGCTCAAGTTAGTAAACGGTGGAGAAATGTTATTGATGGTGATGGTTTGACATGGCAGCGTCGTCTTAAATTAGATGGATTCGGTGTCGATCCTAATGAAGAATCACGTGCTATTGCAGAAAATTGGGGACTTATACGTCCTATAAAATCTACTCATAATAGAAATCGACAATTAGATAGTACAAATAATGAAAGTGGTACTTCATCTTCTGAGGAAAGAACTGTTGTAGAAATTGATGATGATGATACTGATAATATGAGAGTCGTTAATGAAGATAAAGAAAGTTCATCTGATTCTTCTGGATTAGATATGTATAGAACTAGTCTTAACGATAATATGGCAGTTGATATCGACATTTCTGATCAGAAAAATAATTCGATTGTCGATAATAATGAATTACAAGACTCCATCACTCTTTCACCAACAGGAACTGATGAACCATCATCTTCAGTTGGCACTAGTTCATTATTTGGTAAAGAGTTCATCACGAGACAAGATAAAGGAAAGGCTCGAGCTGATGATGAATGGAACGATTTTCGACTTGAACCAGAAACGCATCATGATGATGATCATCCTTATGATGGGGACGATAGTGATGTTGATGCTATGTCACAAGAAGGTAGTGACCATATCGAACCTTCAGAAGAAAAACCTCCACTTCCACCTTCTGCAACTCATCCATATAAAGCTATTTATCGTCGTCACTATCTTATGAGGCAAAATTGGATTAATGGCCGACATAAACATATATCTTTTCAAGGTCATGGCAATAACGTTGTTACATGTCTTCAATTTGATTCCGAAAAGATAATTTCAGGTTCTGATGATCAATGCATCAATGTATATGAAACTTCAACGGGTAAATTAATTAATCGACTTGAGGGTCATGATGGTGGTGTATGGGCATTACAATATGTTGATAAAACGTTGGTATCCGGATCTACTGATCGAACCGTGAGAGTGTGGGACCTTGAAAAAGGCATTTGCACTCATGTTTTCCCGGGGCATACGAGTACTGTTCGATGTCTTCAAATTATAAT